AAGCGTTGTCTCATCTAGGATGGAGACAGGCTATGAGTAACGAGATGTATGCTTTACATACAAATGGTACGTGGGAGCTTGTTCCTCTTCCTTCAGGTAAATCTACTATTGGTTGTCGTTGGGTTTATGCAGTCAAAGTTGCTCCCGATGGCCAGATTGATCGACTTAAGGCCCGTCTTGTTGCCAAAGGATATACTGAGATATTTGGCCTCGATTACAGTGGTACCTTCTCTCCCGTGGCTAAAGTGGCAGCAATCCGCCCTTTTCTATCCATGGCTGCGGTTCGTCATTGGCCACTCTATCAGCTGGACATTAAGAATTCCTTTCTTCACGCTGATCTTGAGGATGAGGTTTATATGGAGCAACCACCTAGTTTTGTTGCTCAGGGGGAGTCTCGTGACCTTGTATGTCGCTTGCGTCGGTCACTTTATGGTCTAAAGCAGTCTCCTCGATCCTGGTTTGGTAAGTTCAGCACGGTTATCCAGGAGTTTGGCATGACTCGTAGTGAAGCTGATCACTCTGTGTTTTATCGGCACTCTGCTTCAAGTCTATGTATTTATCTAGCAGTCTATGTTGATGATATTGTTATTACTAGCAATGATCAGGATGGTATTACTAATCTAAAATAGCATCTCTTCCAGCATTTCCAAACTAAAGATCTAGGCAGATCGAAGTACTTTTTAGGTACTGAGGTTGTGCAGTCTAGCTCAGGTTTTGTTATTTCTGAAAGAAAATATGCTTTAGACATTCTTGAGGAGACAAGGATGATAGGTTGCAGACCTGTTGACACTCCGATGGATCAAAATTCTAAACTTCTGCCAGGACAGGGGGAGCCGCTTAGCGATCCTGCAAGCTATAAGCGGCTGGTTGGTAAATTAAACTATTTCACTGTGACTAGACCCGACATTTCTTATCCTATGAGTGTTGTAAGTCAGTTCATGAATCCTCCCTGTGATAGTCATTGGGATGAGTTATCCGCATTATTCGGTATATAAAATCGGCTCCAGGAAAAGGGTTACTGTTTGAGGATCGAGGTCATGAGCAGATCGTTGGGTACTCAGATGCTGATTGGGCAGGATCACCTTCTGATAGACGTTCTATGTCTGGATATTGTATTTTAGTAGGAGGCAATTTGGTGTCCTGGAAGAGCAAGAAACAGAATGTAGTTGCTCGGTCTAGTGCAGAAGCAGAATATCGAGCAATGGCTATGGCAACATGTGAGCTAGTCTGGACCAATCAGTTGCTCAAGGAGTTGAAATTTGGTGAAATCAGTCAGATGGAACTTGTGTGAGATAATCAAGCTGCCATTCATATTGCATCAAATCTGATGTTCCATAATAGAACTAAACACATTGAGATTGATTGTCACTTCGTCAGAGAGAAGATACTTTCAAGAGAGATTACTATAAAGTTTGTGAGGTCAAATGATCAACTTGCAGATATTTTCACCAAGTCTCTCACTGGACCTCGTATTGGTTATATATGTAACAAGCTCGGTACGTATGATTTGTATGCAGCGGTTTGAGGGGGAGTGTTAGTTATAGCTATGTACATAATGTAGTTGTCCCACATTGGAATAGGAGTAGTATGCCCTTGTATAGTATAGCTATAAATTAGGACCTCTTGTATTGTATTGAACACAAAATATCAATATCAATATCAATATCATATTTTCTCCCATGCCTTCTCACAGTTTTATTTATTTTCATCAACTTAAACACTGCAAAGGAAACTATTACATTACTATTAAGGCAGTTAGGAAATGAGCACGCGACAATTGTGTGTGTTAGTTAGTTAGAGAGTTTTTAATTATTGTTAGAAAGTTGTTAGATTAGTAATGAGTGTTAGTTAGATGGTTAGTAGGTGTTTTAGCTCAATTATAAATATTGTATATTGTACAACTTTTCAGTTAGTGCAATGAGAAACACTGATTCTCTCTCTCGTCTCCTTCCTCTATTATCATTCTTCCATAGCTGAAACTCAAAACTCAGCTTGCATGGCTGTTTAGCACAACTTTCTTCATGGTATCAGAGCAGAGAGGCCATTAATATGGACATAAGCTCATCGATCTTAGCTTAGTTTCCGCGATTCATTTTTTATTTTGTTTTCATCTTCTCTTCTGCGAATCTAGGACACGAATTGAAGAGATCCTAAAATGGCGACTGTTGATAATACATTGCCAGAAAATCTAAGTCACAATCATCCTCTATTTCTACACTCGACAGACAATTTAGGAGCTGTTCTGATTTCACTGCAATTGACAAGATCGGATAATTACTCCGTGTGGAGCAGAGCAATGCATATTGCGATATTAGGTCGCAACAAAATAGGATTCATTGAAGGCACCTGTAAGAAGGAAGATTACGGTACGAATTTGACAGATCTGTGGGAGAGATGCAATGCGATTGTTCTCTCGTGGATAATGAATTGTGTATCGAGTGATTTGTTGAGTGGAATTGTGTATTCCTCAAATGCATGTGCTATTTAGAAGGACTTGAAAGAGAGATTTGATAAAGTCAATGGTTCTAGAATTCTCCAGTTACATAGGGCTATAGCTACTGCGAGTCAAGCAACAAGCTCAATTGCAACTTATTTCTCAAAGTTGCGTGAACTTTGGGCTGAGTTTGACTGTTTGGCACCAGCTCCTGGTTGTGATTGTCCAAAGTCAAGTGAGTATGAGGTTTTTATGCGTAGGCAGAAGCTATTGCAGTTCCTTATGGGGCTCAATGAGACATATGAACAAGCACGTGAGCAGATCATGATGATGGATCCACTTCCAACTATGAATAAAGCCTATTCTATGTTGATGGAAAGAGAAATCCAAAGAAGTATGGCAAATGCAGTAGTTCCTAGTGACAATGCTGAGATGACAACCTTGTTGACAACAAAAGGATTCAATAATCAGAAGCCTAGGAAGAATTATAATATGTTTTGTGATTACTGCAAAATGAAAGGGCATACTAGAGAAGGATGCTACAAATTGGTTGGGTTTCCTGATGATTTCAAGTTCAAAAAGAAGTTTGGAGGTAATACAACTCACAATGCAATGGCAGGGGAACTTAAGCCACAAGCTGCAGCAGGAAGAGGTCAAGATATTTTCAAAGTTCCTCAGATTCCACATTTCACACCAGAACAGTATAACCAAATTCTCAGGTTGCTCAATAAGGAGAATGCGCCAGAAGCCTCAACTAATATGGCAGGTAGTATTAGTGCTTTTTTTGTTGATGATAATAATCATGAATGAGATTGTAGATACTGGGGCTACAAATCACATGACTTCTAATTTGGACATGTTAGAAAACAAATAAGAAGTGGCTGGAATCCATACAAAGAAAGTACACTTGCCTAATGGAGAAGTATCAAATGTGACTCATATGGGATCATGTAATATAGAAAATGTAGGGAGAATTGACAATGTGTTATACTTACCCTGAGTTCAAGTACAGTTTGTTGTCAGTATCTAAGATCACAAAGGAGTTAAATTGCTGTGCAGATTTTTATCCTGATTTCTATCTACTTCAGGACCTTTGCAGTGGGAAGGTGAAGGTGATTGGTAAGAAGAAGAGTGTCCTCTACCTATTGCCACAAACTACTACTAGGAATAATAAAGGAATAATTCAAGGTTTGGCCGCAAAGAAGGCAGACCTGGACATTGGACTCTGGCATAGAAGGCTTGGATATGCTTCAGCAGGAGCACTGAAGTAACTTTTTTCATTAGTCTATGATGACTGTAAAGGAAACATAGACAGTTGTAATGTGTGTCCTTTAGCTAAATATTGTCGGCTGCCATTTAGCATAAGTAGTAATAGAGTTGAAGATGTGTTTCACTTGTTACATAATGATGTATGGGGACCATATGCTGTGCAAACCTTTGATGGTAATAAACTGTTTTTGACAATTATTGATGATCATTCAAGAATGACTTGGGTTTACTTGTTCAAATTGAAAAGTGATGTGTTGATTTTATTGAGAAGTTTTTTAAAGTTAGTTTAGACTCAGTTCAATAGACAAGTCAAAGTGATTAGAACTGATAATGGGACAGAATTTGTAAATGAGGCATGTAGCAAGTTGTTCCAATCGAATGGAATCATTCACCAAAGGACATGTGTTTATACACCTCAGCAGAATGGAATTGCTGAAAGAAAGCACAGACATATGCTGGAGATAGCAAGAGCCATGAGGTTTCAAGGACACATACCTCTAAGATTTTGGGGACACTATGTGTTGGCAGCAGTATATGTCATTAATAGATTACCATCAAGTGTATTAGCAGGGAAAAGTCTTTTTGAAGTGTTTCACAAGAGGAAGCCAAACATTGAACATATAAGGACTATTGGTTGTCTATGTTTTGCAAAGAGAATGAATATGCATGACAAGTTTGAAGCTACAGCAACAACAGTAGTTTTAATGGGCTATTCAGAAGTCACAAAGGGTTATATCTTGTATGATTTATCTAAGCAATGTTTCTTTGTAAATAGGGATGTTGTCTTTAAGGAGTCCTTGTTTCCTTTCAAGTATAAGAGACAAGAGAAGAAACATCTATTTGTAGACATGGAATTTGCAGCACATGATGCAACAACCAACCCACCACTTGATATAACAGTCCATTCACCAGCTCTCAATATTGAGGAGCAGGCTGTTCTTGATGATATTCCAGGAGTAACTGACGAGGAAGAAAGCATGACCCTAACAGATCATGTTCATCACCAACATTCCACTGATGAGGAGACAGAACAAATGACTAATGAAGTACCAGGACATGATATAGAGGGCACTAGGAAGTCCACCCGAGACAAACGAGTACCAGTTTGGATGACTGACCATGTGACTGCAGCTGCACTAGATCAGTCACCTAAACATTATTCCATTTGCAGCTAGCCAGCTATGTTTGCTATGATGGATTGAAGCCAGCTTATCAGAACTATTTGGGAGCTTTCTCAGCTGTTGTTGAACCTAAGACATTCCATGAAGCATCCAAAGACAAGAGGCGGATTGAAGCCATGAAGGCAGAAATTCAAGCATTAGAAGACAACAAGACATGGGAATTGGTGGCATTACCAGCAGGGAAAACTCCAATAGGTTGCAGATGGGTTTACAAGGTAAAGTACAAAGCCAATAGGGATATGAGAGGTTCAAGGCACGCTTGGTAGCTAAGGGATATCGCCAGAAAGAAGGTTTGGATTACCATGAAACATTTTCTCCAGTTGTGAAAATGTTTACTGTCCGAGCAGTGATTTCTGTTGCAGCTACTAAAGGGTGGCATATCCATCAAATGGATGTATATAATACCTTCCTTTAAGGGGACCTCTATGATGAAGTATACATGAAGCTACCTGAGGGATTTGTCAGCCAGGGAGAGAATGAAGGAAAGGTGTGTAGGCTTGTCAAATCCCTATATGGGCTAAAACAAGCAAGTAGGCAGCGGGATGTCAAATTAACTGAGTCACTGATTCATCAAGGATTTGTGCAAAGTTCCCTAGATTATTCCTTGTTTACAAAGAAGCAAGACAGAAAAATAGTGGCCATCCTTGTATACGTGGATGACATGCTAATTACTGGTAAAGATCTGGTGCTCGGAAGAAACCAAGAAGCAATTACATCAGTCCTTCAAGCTTAAGGATTTGGCTGAGTTGAAGTATTTCTTAGGCATTGAGCTCTTTAGATCTCACAAAGGAATCATGATGAACCAAAGAAAGTATAGCCTGGAGCTGATATCAGAAATAGGGTTGAGTACAGCTAAGCCAAGCTCGACACCTTTGGATTGCAATCAAAAACTCACAACTACTGAACTGGATGAAGTTGCAGGATCAGGTAATGAACCACTGGAAGACAAGGGACAATATCGAAGGTTGATTGGGAAGTTGTTGTATCTAACCTTGACCGGGCTGGACATTGCCTTTGCTGTTCAGACACTTAGTCAATTTATGCAAAATCTCAAAAGGTCACATTGGGAAGCATCCATAAAGGCAGTTAAATATGTGAAGAGGGAACCAGGATTAGGCATCATGATTAGCAGCAACAAGAAGAACACCTTGACTGCATTTGTGATGCCGATTAGGCATCTTGTCCCAAACAGAAGAAAATCTATAACAGATTTTATCGTGAAACATGGAGATTCATTAGTTGCATAGAAGTCAAAAAAGCAAAGTACAATGTCCAAGAGCGCAGCAGAAGCAGAGTACAGAAGCATGGCTTCAGTGGTTTCAGAGTTGATATGGTTAATAGGGGTGTTCAAGGAGCTGGGAGCAGAAGTAGAATTGCCAGTTTTGCTGCACTGTGATAGTAAAGCTGCATTGCAGATAGCAGTAAACCCAATATATCATGAGAGAACAAAATATATTGAGATAGATTGCCATTTCATTAGAGAAAAAATTCAAAAGGGGATGATTAGAATAGTACATGTAGGATCAAGAGATCAACTAGCAGATATACTCACTAAAGGGCTTGCAAGACTACACCATGAATTCTTGATTCCAAGCTGGGAGTGCTCAACATCTTCGCACCTACCAGCTTGAGGGGGAGTATTGAGGCAGTTAGGAAATGAGCACGTAATAGTTGTGTGTATTAGTTAGTTAGGGAGTTTTTAATTATTGTTAGAAAGTTGTTAGTGTTTACCCTGAAATTCGAGTAACAATTAAACTTGTATATGGTTTTAAGAATACGTAATTTCGCTTAATACCAATTGATTAATTTAAAGATAATTGATGAAATTGACAAGAATATAAAATAAACCAGTGCTTGGACCGCCCTCAAGCTGATGGACCCTCGAGAGCAGTGGAATAATATCAGTTAAAGAACAATAATTGAAGAACATTAGTAAAAGAGCAGTAAGTTGATGAGCAGAAGAAAGAAATATTATATTGCCTTGATCTGTATGAATGTAAAAAAGATGGTTTACAAATGATGGGGACCCCTCTTTATATACTAGAGGAATCCTAATTGTAGTACAATTCTAATTACGGAAGTACATCCCATGATTGATACAAATAACCGCCCTCGATTTGATTTGTTCCGAGATTTTCGCTGTGATTTTTGACTGGTTACGGATATTTGGTCTTTCCGTTATTGCGTTCCGCTCGAGGCTGGTCATATTCGGTCTCGATCGTTGGGGACCTCGATCTCGACGGGTTCCTCGATCCCCAAACTCGACACCTTACCTCCGTGTTCAAGCCTGAGCCATTACGAGGCTGACCCTCGTTCTTTGAACACGAAATAATGATAAAATTAGGCAAACCCGATTTTACCCGTATAAGATAGTCCCCTCGTTTCTTGGAGTGTAACAAGAAGAAATGAACTGAGTCTTCGATTTAGTAACTCAACCAATTATGACATCATCCTCGTGACGTAAGCGATGGAGGCGACCGAAACGTCGCGTCGCACAATTCTCAAAATCATTAATTAGCGTCAGTTGACCATCAGCCACTGATGCCTTTGAACCGTCATTGCTATATTATAAATAGACCATATTCATAACTCTTTCAAACTTTACTTCCAAAATCTCTTCTAAGTTTGAGAGCACTTCAAGTTTTTCAATTTTTCAACTCCCGCTTGCCAAACTTCTCTTCTAATAACCAGTTTTATCTTCTTCTCTCTTTGAACTCATATAAAATGGCGAAGACATCAAAAATCGTTCCTAAGAAGGAAAAAGCTTCTTCTTCGCGGCCGGCCGGCGATAAAAAGCTGGTGGAGCCACGCATCGAAGAGTGTGTTCCTGGGAAGCGTGACCTCACCTCTGACTTCAAGGTCGATAAACCCTCATCGGTGCCTGGTCACTGTGAGCCAATGTCGAGGTATATATGCTCGATAACTGAGGATGACCTTGATCGGGTGAAAAAAGTTTGTCACTAGGAAAATAAAGAGGTGGTGATTCCGACCCCCGAAGAAGACATCACCACTTATGTAGAAGGGTTCCTTAGTGTTTACACTTACCCTTTTACACTGGGTCCCGTTGACCCGGTTATTCTCGACTTCTGCCGCCAGTATCAAATAACACTTGGCCAGATTCATCCTTCTTTCTAGCGTATCGTCATTTTGCTTCTATTCTTTTCAAGCAAGGTTGAAGGGATGCCCTGCACCCTCGACCATCTTATAAGATTATACGGCCCTCGATTGTATCGAGGGGGTTAATAAAACTCCAACACCGGGCTACCAAGGTATTGTTCTCGTGCATAGACAAGGACAAAGACCGAAGATGTATGGGCCAGTTCGTGCGAGTGAAGACCTCTGACCTCATTCCGGTCGAGAAGATGCCATTCCCAGAGGAATGGAATATGACGCGTAAGTATAATTTCGCCCATGGTTTTTACTTATTGCTTCGTTTCCCTTTGTTTCACCTCATTGATATCCTCTTTTATGATATAGCGACTTCTTGGGTGCCCGGCGCAATCCCTGACCTCAACGGTTGGGTTTGAAAATTAGCCTCGACCTTGGCGTATGCCGAGCGCTCATGGCGTGATTTGGCACAGGGCCGATGGGAGGCCAAAAATCATGGTAAGCTTATTTTCGTGTATTTTGATAATCTTTTTCCGAGGTGCTTTCTTCCATAATTTCTCGATTTATTTTCATATAGGCCTCGTAGATACTTCCGTCTTGAGGCCGCCCCCACCTGGGGAAGAGGAGGCCCCGAAACCGGCTAAGGATAAGAAGAGAAAAAGGGTTTCGATCTTCGAAACTCTGAAACCAAAGAAAAGCAAGGCTCGTTAGTCGAAGAACGACGCCGCTGTCCTATCTGTGGATGTAGCTCAACGGCTATGAGATGAAGAAGAAGAAGACGACAAAGACGGCGATTTCAGGCTGGTGGCTCGAAGGAAGAGCGTCGAAGTCCCAAAGGCCGCTGAGCCGGCTGTGACCGAAGAAGTTCAGCCTCGGGCTGAGGAGGGCTTGGAAAATGCCCCGAGCAGAGTCCCCCAGTCAGCGAGGGCTGATGTTGCTTCCCACCGAGATGCGTAATCGGTGGACGTATCCGAAGGGGCCAGTTTTGAGGCCCTTCGAAATGAAGAGAATGCCTCAAGTGACTTGCTTGGGGAAATAGACATAGGTGATTCACCGCTCCTCCCCTCATTCTCCGAGGGGCAGATTCAAGAAGCTCGGGCCATGGGGCCCCTCGATGCGGGAACGACCCACGGAGGGGAGGACCTTTTACGAGGTTACTTCACGGGGGTCGAAGATGCTCCTGATTTGGATGCACCGAGCATCCTCGACGAGGCTCATCGACTCCTGAGTCAGGTAAGACTTAGCTCCATTTATCAATATCATTTTTGTTTTTCTCATGTCTGACTTTCCTTTCTTATTTCATAAGCCTTGACGCTCCATCGGGAAGCGTTTTCTAAATCCCAGGAGGAGCTGGACCGGTGTGAGGCCGAGCTCAAAAGGCTCACTGAGGAGAGAGAGGCCCTCAAACTTCTCAATGGGCAAAGAGAAGAAGAGATCAAGGGCGTCCGAGCTGAATTGGCAACAGCTCACAAAGAACAAACTGACTTGATTGAGCAGGTAATAAGAAATGTTTATAGTTTTTATGTGCCTATTCGAGGATAATGACTCACACTTTCAATTTTGCAGGTTAAGCAGAGAGCCGAGAAGATCGAGCAACTCCTCGAGGCAGCCAAGATGAAGGAGGCGGAGACTTTAGGGTGGAAGCAGAACATGGACCGCCTTGCCTATGAGAAGAATGCTGCTCGGGCCCAGCTATCTTCGGCCGAGCGTCAACTCCTGAGCATGAAGGAATAAAACTTGGTCCGAACCAAGAAAATTGAGGAGCTTGAGGCTCGATTGGCCACCAAACTTGCAAATGTTAAGACCGATGCAAAGAAGGTCATGGCTGTCTACCGAGCTGATGCTGAAGCTGCTCATGCTCGAGCAAAGGAGATCTCCGATTCTGCTCAGACTCGAGCACTTCGAGTTGCCGAGCATGCCAAGTGCCAATCTCGGAGAGAGGCTCTCAAGGAGATCCACGCTCGTGGCTTTGACCTCGCTGTCGAGATTGAGAAAGCGAAGGAGCTAGAACCCGAAGCTGAAACTTTGCTCTCTGATAGTGGTGACTCCGAGAGCGCGAGTGGATCCGAGAGCGGAGAAGATGAAGACTAGGCACTTAGAATTTTTTCTTTCTTTTTTGGATTTTTGTGTAAGTCCCTTTCCGGTCCCTTGTACATATTTTTATTTATATAAAGAAATTTCTCTTTCGAATGCCTTTTCAAACTTTGTCTTCAATCATGTTTCGTGCCTTGCAAAGTTTTAGCACATTTTTATACTTTGAACGATATGTTCGAGACTTTGGTTTTAAATGACTTGATCGAAGTCATAATATTACTGCTTTTATAGCCGGGTTCGAGTGAAACCCGACTTCGGAGCAAAAGATAATGGATCTGTAGTCGAGTAGGTTCTTATTCGAGTCCGAGATAGCGGGACCCTTAGGTTCGAATCGAGTGAGAACATGTTCTCGAACTCAAAGTGTGTTGGCCCCTAGGCTCTTCAAATTGGGCCGATATGGCCTCAAAAGAGTGGCTTTTTCCCTTTTCGGCTTGAAAAAGTTTAATTATATAAAAATTTATTATGCCTTAGCATGAGTTTGTTCGGGAGTTCGAACAATTTAGTACCCCTTAAGGTTTTCGAGAGTTGATATTATCGAAACCCTTTGTAATTTTGCCGAGGGTAGCCTTGTTTAACCGTTTTTGTGAAAATATTTGAAGGCCTGTTAGATTACAAAATTCGGACGTCTCCGATCCGTGTTAGTTTGGTCGTAGCCTTTAACTTGATATTTGCCCATTGGGCTTGTTTCTCGATTATACTTCAGACTTGTTTGAAGTATCAGTCCCCGAGTGGGGCGGCCGTGGCCTATGAAATCGAGGATTGCCTTTGTAAGGTCTTAGAATTTCGAAGTTTAATAATTCGAGCATGTCGATTTTCGGACGGCAGTCCCCGAGAACGGGGTTGATTGCTCGAGCTTTAGTTGCGATTGGCTCTTGAGTCGGTTTTCGCAATATATCGTAAGTATGAAATTTTAAAATAGAAATTTCACTAAGACATGGAACGTCAGATAAGGAAAAAGTATTTCTTTCAATAGATCATACATGCGTACATGTTTTGTCCTTAGGGCTCGGGCAATCTACATGGGCACGTTTCTTTTGACCGTTTGGATTTTTAAAAAATTTTCCTATTGAAACCCCGTTGATTTGAAACATCTTCTTTGAAAACATAACATCCGAGGGTGATGCCCTCCCAGTATTCGAGGTTGATTGTAACGCAGTCTCGGATACTGTCAAATTGTCCCCAGGTAGCACATATAATTGTTTCCTCGTTAAAAACCTTGTCGGAAAACCCATTTGAGATAAAAACCGATCTAAGGAAAAAAGAGTGCAACGCGTGCTTTAAAACCTAAGGTCTTCGTATTAAAGAGCTTCTCGATCGAACTCCTGCAGTAAGTTAGTATCAAATACAAATGAACAGGGAGAAAGTCATACCTTAACAATAATATCGTTTGAGGAGTGATATGTTCCAATTGTTTGGCAATTGTTCGCCCTCCATTGTGCCAAGCTTGTAAGATCCCTTTCCGATGACATCGAGGACTTGATATGGTCCTTCCCAATTTGGGCCGAGCTTCCCTTCGTTTGGGTATCGAGTATTGAGGGTGACTTTCCTTAGAACTAAGTCCCCTATTTTGAAGTGTCGAAGATTGGCTCTTTGATTATAATATCTTTCGATTCGCTGTTTCTTGGTGGCCATTCGAACGAGGGCGGTCTCCCTTTTTTTGTCTAACAATTCGATGCTCGTGCTCATAGCCTCGTGATTTGATTCTTCTGTTGTGTATCGAAACCTCATGCTTGGTTCCCCGACTTCGACCGGGATCAGAGCTTCAGCGCCATATACTAAGGAGAACGGCATTGCCCCGATACTAGATTTTGTCATTTTCTGATATGCCCAAAGGAATTCGGGCAAAATTTCTCTCTATTTTCCCTTAGCATTGTTCAACCTTTTCTTTAGGTTTTGAATGATGGTCTTGTTCGTTGATTCGGCCTGTCCATTCCCACTGGGATGATACAGCATCGATAATATCCTCTTTATTTTGTGATCTTCAAGGAACTTTGTCACTTTGCTGACAATAAATTATTTTCCATTGTCGCACACTATCTCGGCGGGTATCCCGAATCGGCATAAGATGTGGTCCCATATGAAGTCTATAACTTCTTTCTCTCTGACTTTCTTGAAAGCATGTGCTTTAACCCATTTAGAGAAATAGTCAGTCATAAATAAAATGAACTTAGCTTTACCTGGAGATGATGGCAGAGGGCTGGCGATATCCATTCCCCATTTCATGAATGGCAATGGGGATAGGACCGAATGAAGTTGTTCTCCGGTCTGATGGATCATTGGTGCATGCCTTTCGCATTTATCACATTTTTGAACAAAGTCCTTAGTGTCTTTTTCCATACTATCCCAATAGTATCCTGCCCTGATGGTTTTGTGAACTAGTGATTCGGCACCGGAGTGGTTCCCACAAGTACCTTCATGGATTTCCCGTAGAACATAATCGGTGTCCCCCGTCCTAAACATACCGCTAATGGTCCATCGAACGTTCTTCTGTACAATGTTTCATCTTCATCCAATGTGAATCGAGCAGCTTTTGTTCATAAGGCCCTCGATTCTTTAGGGTCCGATGGGAGCTTTCCGTTCTTCAAGTGCTCGATATATTTATTCCTCCAATCCCAAGTTAGGCTCGTGGAGTTTATTTCTGCGTGGCCTTCTTCGACTACCAATTTTGAAAGCTGTACAACAGTCCTCGAGCTAATTTCATCATCCTCGACTGATGACCCTAATTTTGCGAGGGCATCGGCCTCACCATTCTGTTCTCGAGGTACATGATGTAGGGTCCATTCTTTGAACCGGTTAAGGTTACCTGCAATTTATCCAAGTATCTCTCCATTCTATCTTCTAGAACTTCGAAGGTTTTGTTGACCTGGTTAACCACGAGCTGGGAATCACATTTGGCCTCGATGACCTCAGCTCCCAAACTTTTAGCCAGCTCGAGACCTGCAATCATAGCCTCATACTCGGCCTCATTGTTAGTCAACTTAGGGGTTTTGATAGATTGTCTAATCGTATTGCCTGTGGGTGGATTCAGAACGATGCCTAGCCCGGACCCCTTCACATTCGAAGCGCTGTCTGTGAAAAGGGTCCACACCCCCGATGATGTAGCCGATTTTAACAAAAGTTCCTTCTCGACTTTGGATACGAGGGTTGGCGTGAAATCGGCCACGAAGTCTGCTAAAATTTTAGACTTGATGGCCGTTCGGGGTTGATATTCGATATCGTACCCACTGAGTTCGACGGCCCATTTAGCCAATCGGCCCGACAGTTTGGGCTTATGCAGAATATTTCGAAGCGGGTAAGTGGTTAATACACATATGGGGTGACACTAAAAATACGGTTTTAGCTTTCTAGAGGCGCTTATCAGTGGAAGTGTCGATTTCTCTAAGTATGGATATCTCGTTTCTCCTTCTCCTAGAGATCGACTTAGCTTTCTCTTCTCGAACCAGGACACCACTTACCGCGATCTCTGAGACTGCCAAGTACAAGTAGAGTTTTTCATCTGCCTTTGGAGTATGAAGCAATGGTGGGATTGAGAGATATCGCTTCAATTCCTGTCGCGCCCCCTTTTTCCTCGCGGAAGTCCGGGTTTCGACATTCATTTGGAATAACTCATTTCCTTTTGGGAATTGGGTATTTGATTTAGAGAGTCGCCACCTAACGAATTTATGGTACGTTAGGGCACCTAGAGCGAATAACTCATGAAACCGGTTTGCATTACCAGAGAATTGGGTAAGGGCTCGAAATAACCTTGAGGGGAAGGTGTTAGGCATCCCTCGCGGTCCATAACGGTGGGTCCCGGCCGAACTCAAATTATGCGAATTAGTCATTTAACAGATAGGCAGTCTAAGCACATATAAGATAAAGGA